TCAATAACACAAGTATAAATTCTAATTTTACGATCTCCACCGCCGTCGCTGCTATTGCACCGAACATTGCAACAATCGTGTACCTCGGCTCGAGAAAATCCGGCAGGAAATCAGAGATATTCCTCGGGAATGTTCCTGTTTCACGGAAAATCAATAAGTACGATCGAGCAGAGCCTAATTCACCGGTATATCGCATTTGTCGTTTGCCTTACCAGGAAAGTCGAACGCTGTCGTCGCAAATATCGCGATATTACTCGTTCACTGGCCAACATATAGTACGTTCCGTGTAGCCGGTGCTGGTCGCACGATAACGTTGTAGCGCAAAGTGCACCGCATGATATCTTTTTGCTTGCCGCGCCATCGACCACGTTGCTCCTTTTATTAGGATATAGATTCGCGTCAATTGATTTATAGCGACCGGCTCGATTTCCTGGCGCGCACGTCCGCCAGCACCAAGATGAACATATCCCCAGGCGCGATCCGTTATACGTCAATTTCACGCACAGCCCAACGACTCACTCTTTTAATTTTTATGGAAATTTCCTAACCTAACGATTTCGTTCCGCGAGTGAAACTCACTCTACCTGATCAGGCGGTTCATTTCTTTCTTTTTGTTTTCTTCTCTTTCCACCCCCGTACGATTCGTTGCAAGTGCATTGAAGTTTTAAGAGCAGGGTCGTTTAAAGCAGACCATGCCTTAATAGTAGCAATTTAATTCACGAAGATCCATTCGCACGGTCGATGAGAAATTATCAATCGTAGATAAAAGGGTGGCGAGATCGTGCACGGGCCTTCGTTTAACATGGCTATCTGGAGGCAAACGTGACGGGGAAATAGGTCGATACGATCTTGCGGAAGTGGCCATACAGCGCATTTATTATTGCACGAGTGGCTTTCGTACGATCGCATCGACCTATTTCCCCGTCGCGTTTTTACTATACCGATGAGATGATCCCCGATGAAAATACGCCCTACGCGCCGCGGCCCAACGAATCAATGCATCCTTTTGCGGAAGTAACGTGCACTAACGCCGCCATAATTTCGGCGTTCGCATTGTTCGTGCTCTCTGCGCTCTTCCGCTCGTTTGCTTGACAATTCTACGCGGTGAACGATGGTGATGTATGCGTGTTGATGAGAAGCGAAGTTGAAGCCGAAAGAGTCTCGTCCAGGGTGGAACGTTCGAATTTTTTTTTTTTCGGCCCGTGCCGTGCCCGTTCGCGAGGATTTTTTTCGTAACGCGGTAACCTGCACCGCCGGGCAAAAACAACGAAATTCTGGAATTTCGCTCAACTGGACGACGGTGCGTTGAACGCACCGCGAACGGGAATGTAACAAGAACGCGACGGTTTTTCTATTACGCTGGCTGACTCGGAGGTAACAATGAATTTCTACATTGTTTTCTAACGTCGTCCCGAGTAACGCTGAGTTCTGCGTATTAATTATTTCTAACGAGATTAAACAAACGGGATATAGAAGTAATAAATATACGAGTAATATTTATTCCACTCTTGCATCCATTATAATTTTATTACGGGACGTATCATTGAAGGGAAAGTTACTCGAAATTCTTTTCCTTGAAAGTTTAGCTATTGAATTCGTGCAACAGTGGAGATGATGACGACGTGTACGGCGAAGTCACGAGGGAGAACGCTCCTATAGATGTGTCGTTGGAAAACCCCCGATGTGATTCAATTTGTGGTCTCGGAAAATGCGATACCTTGCTGACGTAAACGTGTTAACAGCTCGTCAGCTTGTTGCTCATCATCCCCATTCGCCTGCCCCCCCTTTCTGGTCCTTGTTATGTTTTTCTTCGCTGACGGATGTACGATAGGGATGTGCGGGAACCCGAAAATATCGGGAACCCAATGATCGGGACGAGTCGGGAAGAGATCGATTCGGGTCGGGTCGGATTCCCGAAAATTTTGAGATTCCAGATTCTTTGAAAAAGGGCGAGATTCCCTCTAAGCACGCAGTCACACGATATTTAGAATCTATGTTTCCAATAACTTCACTGGCAGGAGAAATTGTACTGTGTATTTACATATTTTGTAGGCTGCTATACAGCATTGTAGAGTAGTTCGAGAAACTGTAGCCAAGTTATCGAAATTTTCGGGTACTCGAAAGACATTCCGTGTTCCCGATCCGACCCTATAATTCGAGTTCTTGCACACCTCTAATGTACGAGTTACTTGCCGAGGAAGATACATGGCGTTATATTAGCATAACAAATTCGCCAGTGACATAGTGGCCCGTTGGGTCGATTTTGCTGGCCAGAATTAAAGACACTTTCATATCGATTTTCTTTTAATATGATAATGTGATACAATAATATATGACAATAATTAATTGACGATAAATGCATAAATATACATTATACATAAAATTATATATAAACTTGTAGAATAAATTATCTGGTGGTTCATCGTTTAAACTTTATCGGTTCTGTAAATAAAAATAAGATTGAAAGTATTATTGCATAGTAAAAAGTTAATGTTTCGTTAAGAAGTTGGAACAAGAGTGTGAAATGAAATCAACTCGAGTGATGGATTGGTCGAGAAGGACCAATTTCCTGGCCTCCTGGGTCAGCAGACCTTATATCTTGATTACTATGGGAACTTGGGGCAGAGAGAAGTGATATTCACTCGTCACCGCGAGTCTTCTTGAATTTAACAACGTTTGGATCCTGAACGTTTGGATCATTTTGCGTATAACAAAATCATTCATGAATGTTACAATAAATTAAAGAAAACATCATTGATAAACCAGCCGTGTTTAAGTTCTTGACTATATAGAACATTCTTATCTGAAAACTTCACAACGAAAAGAAGCGTGTACAACTTGTTTAAAACATGTGAGAATTGTATCGAAGAGTTTGACAAAAAATTTCGACGTGCAAGAGCACAATGCTTAATCAGTATATGAATGATGATATTGATACATTGCTCCCTATTGTTTCTTAAACAGCAAAAATTTTACAGATTCAAATGAAATTTCCGAAACTGCCTTCGGTCAATTGGATCGCTGTGCATCGTGGCGAAATAATTCATCGGATGGATATCTATATCGATTTCTACCACCGGAAGATTAGTAGCTAATAAAACACCGGTTCTTCTTCGCCTGCCTTGTAAACCAGCCGGACAGAGATTGGACACGCTCGCAACCACCGCCGTTATTTCTTCTCCCCGTAGGGAGAAAAAAGGTGGAAATACGCGGAAGTTCCGTGTCTTTCGACGGAAATTACGGAAGCAGCGATTTCTGCCCGCTTTCGAAAGAACGTTTATCTCTGGAGAATGAGGACGAGGTTTAGAGCGGATACAGAGTAGAAGTTGCTGTTTGATGCGGGTGTACAGAGGAAGTTACGTTCGTTGCTACCGTTCTGCTATTATTCGCCGAACGATAAAGTGAATACGGGACGCGAGGAAAGTATATTTACTTTCAAAGGCAATTAATCTTCGACTGTGAGGAGGCGCGTTATGATTTAATTCTCGGCCGGATCGCGGCGGTATTCAAATGTCAGCGGCAAGTTGGTCGCTCGACGGAAACTGAAATCGTGTAAAACAGATTCCCTAATAAATCTCGACGGCTCGTAAAGGTGGTTTGTGTGGAGCGCGGTCGAGCCAGTGTTCGTTCTGGTCTAATTTGTGGATCGTTCGCTAAAAGGAAACTACGTCGTCTACAGGATGGGGGAGAAGAATTTATAGATACCCTAATACCGAAAACTCACAGTGAATAGTTCAGGAACAGTCCCGGCCAGCAGCGGCGGTGGGAGTGATAAATTTTGGAACTGGCCCGACGCACGCGTGCACCGCTGTCCACGGGCACGAACTCTGCTGATAATTTTTCATGTGACGTAAATCAAAAAAGTTGCTGCGCGACCGAAAAAAATGCAATCGGAACGCGTCCAAGTAACAGTCGTAATTTACACGATAATACTATTGCTGATAAATGACGAAGATGTTCTGTTGTAAAGATAGATAAATTCCAAGATTTGAGAGAAGATCTTGTTTGTTCCATTTTTCGTTTATTTGGATTATATTTCCTAGCTATCTATCTACCTACGTATACTTGGTTCTTATATTTCCTAGCTATCTTTCCTACCTACGTATACTTGGTCCATTCGGATCCGTAAGAATGTTATTGACAATCGAATACTTCCGTTCTTCTGTCGAGGGATTCTAGTTTTGTAATATATTGTTTGGAATCTACTTTTCAATTAAATCATTTTTGTTCTTTCATCACTGAGATTCATTATTATGCAATCGTTAAAAATAAATACAATTATGGTATATTCATTGGTTTCCATTCGTTTCATGAGTTTATATATTTAAAATATATATTTTATAAATATATTTAAAACATTTGTTTACATTCGTCTTCGTTTTATCGCTCTGAAAAAGTGGAAGATTAAAGGGTGACATAGTGGCGACTCGTGGCGTTCAACTGTTTATACGAATGGGTTCAGATGGATCCTACCATTCGTCGGACGAAGGTTGAAACTCGGGAAAAGTTATTACCAAGTTCTCGCAAGAATTATTTTATGGCCAGATCTTCACCGACGAAGAATTTTCTGAATCATTTCATTGATACTTTTCGAATATATAAAAACGCTGGTAAAAAAGAAATCAATCTACGTTTTATTTATGATATGAATTTATGATACGACTCGCTTGATTAATCCATATATAGTTTACGCGTAAAAATTTATTTCACCATTAATCCATCATTCGTATACGGCATTAGCTTTATGGAATATCGATGGATCAATTAACGTTGCGCCTTGTATTTTCCGCTTACGAACGATATCGTTTTACCGTCATAATTAACAGGCCAATATATTATTATACACTCAGCACGAAAATATTTCCAAATGGATTTTGCATTACGATGTCGCTTGATTTATTTCACGCCTTTATAAAACATTATGAAATAAGTGCGGTAACTGGAGGAGCGCGTTCATCCTCCACGGCTGACATTAATACCTTGCACCCTTTTGTCTTCAGGTCAAAAGACTCTGCGGAAGTATCCCGTGATGGTGTTCATTCATGGGGAGAGCTTTGAATGGAACAGCGGCAACCTTTACGACGGCACTATATTGGCATCTTATGGCAACGTCGTCTTTGTCACTATCAACTTTCGTCTGGGCATTCTCGGTAAGTAGATTCAAACTTAAATCGATCTGCATAATTCATTAAAAATACAAAGTGCTTCGCAACTCGTAAGCAAGCGATATGAAAAAATGAGTTGAAAGGAAAGAATAAAATTTCTTTCGTTAGAGCCCGCGTTTTCGTGTTTGAAAATTTGTCGAGTGTGCTTAAATTTCAACACGAGGACATTCCATATGCAAAACTAAATAAAAAATATAGAATAAAATTTGCCTGTTCGAGACATTATTTTCAATAATAGAATAAAAGTACACGTGTACTTGGTAAATTTTCAAATTATATTCCATATTTTTCACATAGAATAGTCTTTTACTAGTTATTCACTTCTGCTCAGTTCACAGATAAATTCAAGTATTCGTGTAATACAAAGTCAGTTCAAATATTCAAAGTCGATTTTGTTCAAAGACGAAGCTTCCCATGCGATTATCTATCGATCTGTCACCGGACAAAAATAATTTGTTCTTCTTTCTTTTCGATTCGTTTTTACATGCAGCCCTGTATAAAACACTCATGGGAAAATGTCAAATCCTCCGTAATTTGCGTGAAACGAACCACATTTCTCTGACCCGACCTTCAAGTAATACGATTACAGTACTGACTCGCTGCAAGTAGTGTAAGTCAAGCATTCGCCGAACGCTGTGTTTTCACGATAGATTCGTCCGAAAGTCAGACGAGATCAAAAGATAGTAGATGGAAACAAGAGGCGTGGTGCACGTCGAATCGAATCGAAGATCGTTTCTGGATCTGGAACTTCGTCTGAGAGAACTACGAAAGAACAAGTCCCACGCCATCGATACGAATTTATGAAATCTTGTCGAACGCCGCCAGCGGCAGCGTTGCATGAAATCAGGAATTCTGCTTCATTAACGTTCGCGCTTCGCTGCGCCATCGGCTTTTTGATCTTCGACCAACTCCTTTTTATTTCTATCTTCTTCCCATGCGACTGTCTATCGATCCGTCATCGCACGCTGGGACAACCGCCATCGTCTACCGGTATCTTTCGCAGTCCGCTCGTATAAATAACACGAGGCTACGTCTCTTAGAAGCCCGGCTTCTCCGAACTTTCTTCTGAATTTTTATAGACCTTTCCTTCTGTTGAATTAATTTTCCGAGTGGATTCGCAACTTGCTTCGAAAACTATGACGTGCAATATGTTCGATTTAAGCGTCCACACGCAATTGTTTCTGTAACTAGCGGAAATAGGAAAAAATGTATATATGTATATATCAGATGAAGTTTGTACAGTAATGATAATTGTTTGTCCTTGAAATAGCAATTCCTATGATTTTTAATCCATGTGTTGAAGCGTTTTTAAAAACACTTGTGTAGTAATTTTCACAGGAAGTTAAATTATTAATATCTAGCGTTGCTAGACGTGGTCAGAAATTAGAGGAAAGAAGAAATACATGATTTCATTAACAACATGTATTTCCGCGTTGTATATATAATAATAATAAAAGATTTAATGAAAATTTTTAATCTCTCCAATTCTAATAGTCAAGTAGGTGTACCAGTTATTACGAAAGTAGTTCATAATTTGTTACCCGAGCGTAGGAAACCGCAAAGGTGAAACAAATGGGGAACGTAAAAGTTCCGAGCTCGTTCTTACACAGGGGGGGGGGGGGAGAAGAAAATTTTTCTACGAGAAAAGAGGCTCGGCAGCGAGACAAAGGCGGCCCTTTTGCCCCCGAAACTTCCATCGATCCTCGCCGTTTTTCCCCGTGGTCTGCTCCATTTTCTCCAGCCCCCTCTCGGGTCCACCGGCTGCAGCTGGGTATTCGCAACGAGAAGCGTTTCCCCTAAAATGATAACGCGACCTCCGGGCGCGCAATGCAAATGGACGGACGTCGGTGGCGCGAGCTGCGCTGCCGCGTCCGACAAATCCGATGGAAGGGGTAAGGGGAAGGAAAAAAGAAAAGGGAGCACCGCGAAAGGAAAAAACGAAGAAGCAGCCGCGAAACCATAATCATAAATTAGGTTAAAGTGCTGGGAAGGCGCTTAGTTAACTTCACCCTCTTCCCGTCTGGTTCGTAGTCGGCTACAGTTCGCGAGAGGCCCGGATAACTTCAGCCTTTTGCAAAACAACGGCGGGGAAAAATATGGATAACGAGCGAGCTCGCGTGAACAAAAAGAAGAAGCACGTTGTGCCGACCAGCTTTACGTCCGGCGTTGATACCTTGGTAGTAGAGGATGTAGGCGTAGAATAAAGTTGCGTTTCCTTTTTTTTTTTTTTTTTTTTCAAACTGGATAAAAATCTTTTTTAAAAAGGGAACGGCCGTATGATCTTTCTTGCTTTCTTCGGTTATTGAAGGCTTACGATTGATATGAGACATCTTGTATCTTGAACGAATTATATAATAAAATTATATAATATATAGGAAAATTATGGTATTTAGTAATTTCGACGGAGAAAGTATTTATTGGGATTTTTTGTGAATATATTATGTGCGTTATATGAAACATCTTAAAATTAGAGTAATGTGTTGGTAAAAATGCTACAAGAGGTTTTCATTGATGTTGTATTACATCATAATATTTAAATTATATTTACGTATATTCAAATTTATTATATGCTTAAGATGGCTATTCATACTACATGTTAATTTTTTATCGAATCTACAAGGGGTACAAGAAATATCTTGTAACTACTATACACATTAATTTCAAAACTTACAAATCTCATTGTGTTTTATATGATGGACACTTTATAAAAATTCTTCAATAGTAAGCGAATTTATTCATTAATTGTAATAAAGATAATGATTGCAACTAGACTGCGAATTTATATTTTTGAGAATGTGATTAAACAAACAAAATTATATTATGAAAAGCATTATAATTTGAATATTTACATACATTCTCATATTATCTGTATTCTATTAGTACATTTATTTAAATTTCCTGCAAATCCATTATGATCTGCAATTTAATTATAACTTATTTATTCAATAATGCACGTTTCATTGCAGGTTTCTTGAGACCTGGAATCAGAGACGATACGACGAGTAATTTCGGGTTGCTGGATCAAATAGCAGCGCTACTTTGGTTAAGAGAGAACATCGCTGATTTTGGTGGCGATCCAAACAGCATAACGCTGGTCGGCCATGGTACTGGTGCCATTTTTGCTAACCTGCTGCTTATCAGCCCGGTGGCTAATAAGAAAGGTAACTGTTATTGCGGTGTTGCGTGTTTGCGACTTTTGCGATGCCTGAATATTAAGAGAACACTTTCGTGGAAGAAACACGTGACCGCCATTTTCCTCAAATCGATAAGATCGTCGAGTACAGATTTCGATTTTAGAAACGCGAACTTTGAACGTTACTTTTAAGAAACTCAAAGAAACCATGTTTGTAATGAAGTCAAAAAGAAGAAAAGAAAAGGATTGATTGTAATCGTGAAGTAAACGTAGCGTTTCACAAAATTATTCGGTTTATTTTGAAGACATAATTTTACAAGGATGTAAGGTATCGTTCGACAAAATGGGATCATTCGACTAAAACTTAATTTATCAATTTGACACACACGAGTCTTGTAAGTAAAAAAGATCTACAATCAGGTATTTCAAGCTCTCCTCGGTTATCATTCAAAATTATAATCGAACCGAGATTCTAGGATTTTGTATACCTCTTTTTAAAGTCGCTGATGGGAAGAGTAACCATTGTGAGGAAAAAGTGAGTGAAGAAAATGAAGACTACGATCATTTTTCAGCGGCGATACAAGCCGAAGGGAATTGCACCATGATGTTCGATCAATAATTATACTATAGAATGAAAAACTTAACGTTTCTCGCGTACAAGTAGCTACTAGTTCGATCCCGAGAGAGTCGGATCATTAATCGTCTTTCCATCTTTCGCAGGTCTCTTCAAACGAGCTATACTGATGTCTGGATCAGCGTTAAGCGCCGATGCTATCGGGAAAGCGCCCTTACAAATCACCAAACAGGTTGGTACATCAATCTTGACGAAACACGAAATGAAAGAATGATATGTTAAAAACTTATAATTACTGGCTACTGCGTGACGTTTAATCGGCTCTTATTTTTTTACTAACATAAAGCAAAATATACGCAAGTTAGCAAATGAAGCAAATGAAGAATGATTAGTAAATGAAGCAAGCATAATTACTGCTCGCTAATTTATTTTTTCTAATCTTGGACTTACGCCGCTCGTCGACTCACTCGTGTAGAATGTGAGAAAGTGAAAGTATAGCACGCGGGCCGACTCATGGCGAAAGGTACATTTCAATTCGACGTGTCTGACATCTTGTCGACAGACGATCGATATCATGCTCCTCGCTAAGGGCAAACGAGTCGCGTTTCATACTGTACGATCGCCTAGTTTCCGCTCGAAAATAAAAGAACAGAAGGCCGCGATTGCGATTGGAACTAGCAAAGGAAGAAATATCGTTTTTCATCATCACGACCAGCGGCGGTGATTCCAGTAGACAGAGGGAATGTTGATTGGATGTCGTTGAAGAACGGTCTGGACCATTTTTCAGGTGGCGCACGCCCTCAATTGTCCCACCACGACTGACAGTGACCTGGCATTGTGTTTACGTGGCCAAGATGTAAGCGCGTTGTTGAACGTGAAGATCCACAAGCCGAATTACGTTCCAGCATTCGCGCCGCTAATTGACAATGTGGTTATCCCGGATAAGCCTTTAAATCTGATGAAAAACTCTGAGCTATTTGGCAGGTAGGTGTGCACGGCTGCAAAGATTAATCTGCTGTTTATTTGAAATGAATTTATTCTAAATTTAATTGCAACATTTAATAGAATAGCTAATATCAATTAGTGTAAGCAAAAAAGCAGTAATTGTAGCTGGCTAATGATTCATGTTGCAGAACATCTTACATTAGTTGAATCTAGTGATTTTAAGTACGTTTGTTTAATGTTGAGATATTAAATTGATTGAAACGTATATTTTTCATCACGTTGCAAAAAGTTTACGTGAATTTTATGATGTGTTTTTTGCTATTTATTGCTGAGCCATATTTGTTAAAGCTATTTATTGGAAATGAATATGGAGCTTGAGCGATATAGATATCTTGTTTCAAAGGTATATTCCATGTTTTCCTATTAATTAATTCATTTGATCCCAGTTACAGTAAAATATTGAAACAGAGGAATATATTCGCTGATCGTAATTGTGGAAATAAAACAAACATATCTATTATCTTTAGTATCACAATTATTTATTTACGCATGATAAGTACACATACACGTTTTAATGAGTAATCAATGAAATCGCCTGCATTTGATTCTTTGATTTTGGAATCGATTTTAGTTTATGTACTGTTATGATTATAGTTTATAATGAAACCATCAGTCACTTTTTGCACCAAAGCAAAATGAGAAACGTGTCTGAAAGTCGTGAAACTAAAAACGCCTCGTTTTTTTCACTTGCTCTTTGTACAATTTCTATTCTAAACTGTTTTGAATAACTGTTGTCCAAATCTGTTGGACAGATTTGATCTGATGTACGGCGTCACGGAATCGGAGAAGTTTCATATTTTGTCGCCGATAGCGTTGCTACACGGGATGGTGGACGTGCAGAGAGACGAAGTTTTACGAGAACACGCCAAGGTACGCTCTCGAATCGTCAGTATGCTTTTTTTGCTAATTTTCTCGGTTGTCAATTAGAACTGCTTTTGATCGCGATTTATTTATGGGAAGTTGTTTATGGGAAATTGATGTATCGTCGAGGAACGGAGTTTCGGATAGGAATGTTTGCACGCTGGCTGATATTGAATCCGACGGAAATTCAGCCGACGTACGAATAACAAAGTGACGCGATATTTCTTGGTCGGCAGGCAACGCACGAACTGGAAGCGGAGCTAATTCTGTCGAAGATTCTGGAACAATACGGCGATTTCTCCGGCTTCACGAACGACTACACCTTGAAGAATCGGGATCTCGTTCTAGACGCGCTATCTGACAGCGGCACCGTCGCGCCATTAATTATGACCGCGAATTTGCACTCGAGGGCGAATCCGAAGAGCTACATGTACGTCTTCTCGCATCCGAAAGCGATGCAGGAGTACTCCGGCGTAAGTACGTCCTCGAAAGCACTTTCACAATTTATTACACCGTCTGTGTCACTCAAAAATGACGAAACATTTCCATATCTCTTCGTTCAATTCGCTTCGCCCGTGTCTCTTGAGCTTCTTTGCCGTGGATTCCGCATCGTCTAAATACTCAATGACACGTCGAAGCTCCACGCAGTTACAATTCGACAGGGATTCGCGCTTCCAGCCAAGAAATGGCATCCGCCATTGTCTAGATTGACAAATTCCTCCGGGTCAAGAATCCAGAAAGGACAAAAATATATTAAGGAGTCGCATAAATTCGCTGGGGCTGTTCTTCCCGTGAAAACTGGAGCACGTACGATTAGACGGTGTACTTTGCATTTTATTCATTTTCCTCCGGGAGCGTGCGGATTCCTTGGCGGAAACGGGAAGTATGACCTACTGACTGTTCGTTGGTCGGTCGTGCGCAAACGGAGAGAGAAAAATCCCGGTTACGAGGGGCCCATTTGGACGTTGTCCAACTATTTTTATCGGTGCTGCGTGCCGGCCTGTTACGCTCTGTCCAAGAGTACAATGACCGCCTGATGTCGTTAAACCAAATGTAACGAAGTTTCTGCTTTTCAGCTGGAATTTACAAGCTTGGACACCTCGCAGTTAGGCGCACAATTTGCAAGTGACGGACTCCAGACTGCGAGGCACGTTCGCCACAGGAATGCTATCGTGTCGCCTTTCTTATCATCGTGCGAGCAAAATTGACGAGAAATCGGCGATTCGCGGGAAACTAAAAATTACAGCCTCTGCCGGTATAATGCTTTCATCTGTAGAATCGCGAGCAAGTGATCGAATCTTATGTGGATGAGCAGACTTGGTTTGTCAAGTGTCAGGACATTTGCAATTAGCCGAAGGATTGTTTGTTGAGATGGCACAGAGACCAGAACCGAGATCTAGGCAGTTTGGAATGTCTTTCTGAAAGAATTAATGCACAAACATATGCTTCGAAAATATTTAGATTTTGACTAAGATTTTAGTTACAGATTTTAATTAACAGAATAAGTTCAGCAAAAAAATATAAAAACTTTGCTGATACTAAATTTCGATTAAAAGATCAATTGTTTTTTTTTTTTTAATTGTCAGATAAAGTTGTGAAATATTTTTTAACTCGATTATAATATCAAGTGTCTCTGAATTTTTCAATTGCCAATTCCCTCGCAAGAGTTTAGTACGATTCTTCAAACTTCTGACAAGATAGTTTTTACAGCAAGACTCATAATTCCGACCGATTCTTGCACACTTTTGTCCATCGAAAGAATAAACAATATTTCTCGCAACTCGGTATTTCCACGTTCTTCGAAAATGCAGGCTCGATGCCCTCAACATCTGGAATATATTCGTAGGATCGTTGACCGCGATCGTCCAGAAAGAACGAACTTATCGGATAATATCGATCATCCGGATCGGGGAATAACAATGAGGTCGATGGAGTTAAAAAGCATAACGCAGTGAAACGGAAGTTAATAACAATGGCTGCGGTTTCATGGAGAAAGCCTCTCTTGACCGTTCCTTTGGATCGCGAAATTTTTGCGAGAGTTTGTTGCCGGCAGGCAAAGTATTTCGAATCAGACCTTCTTGTATGTTTGCAGCAACAACGTCAGTGCACCGTGCACGGTGAGGAACTGCCCTATGTTCTCGGCGTCCCTCTCGACAGCAGCAAATACGACCAGCGTCGCCGATACAATATCGGCGAAATACTCTTTTCCGAAGCAATGATGAACTGGTGGTGTAGCTTCGCGTACGTTGGGTAAGTTGTTTCTACGTTACATTGTGCCTACATTGTGCAAGAATTTAAAATAATTGATAGAAATATTTATTGGTTAAAGAGGATTGACCCTTTGGTATAGAAGAATACAAGGCTGGGGAAATAATATACATATGATACAAGAGAAAAAGGGATAAATGAACGTAGCAATGAAAAATAATATGAGATAAAAAATGAATTAGTAACATTGTTATTATGGTAGAGCCAGGTTTATATTAATTGAAACATTAAGCGTTTTTTGAAGTTCTCTGATTCTTCTGCCATATTTTTCTGTTTTGGAGTAAATTCATCACTGGTCAAAAATTCAGATTTACGTGATTTAAATAGGGCATCATTTAATCAAAGAGTCACAAGTAAAAATAACGTGTTGGTGAATAATGGCTACATTTAATATTATTATAGTATATTGTTATGACGTGATAAAATTTACTTGAAATATATATATATATAAATAGGATAAAATAGGAGTGACACAAATTATAAAACGATTTTTCAATGAAATATACGATAAAAAAATATCAATCCTTAAATTATCTTCTATATAATTAGCAAAGTATAGTTCCAATAAAAATAATTTTCTTTTAATTTAATAGATACATCGACGAATCATGTTTCGAATTTTAATCGACAAATTAGTCGACAAATTACTTACTACTTTGTTAATCGTACAAGAAAGTGAAATATTTTCATTAATTTATATAGCTTAACCTCGTATTTACGAGCGTAGTGTGTACATCCTCGAAAAATTGCACAGAGGAGCAAACGAATATTTAAAAAAAAGAATATTTCGGTTGTTCATCTCTTTGCGTTCAAAGATGGTCGTCGCCATTTTTATCTGGCAGAGCTTCTGCACAGATTCACCCTACAATCGAGTAAATTAAAACGGTATAAAGTTTCCAGTGGAAATTATGCTTCTCGCCGATCACCGAAACGGCCGTTGCGGCCATTCACGGCACGAGAAACGAGCATCAGAGAGATTTAGCCGGGTCGCGATTAAATCTATTTGGAAAAATAATTACAAGTCTCACGAACGGCAGTAGTAACGGTAGAAATGGTTAAACATAAATATTCAGAGACGCGTGTAATTGAAAATCACGTTTGAAAACGCGTCAGTCTATTATCCGTCGGTCGGTTGATAATGAATTTCGAGAGAGAGAACCGGCATAAAATTCTCTGCAGTTTCATCTCGTAGTCGCGAATCGCGTAACCACGATATTTTGATTATCTGAAAACTGTCCGAGGTTTTTCGTAAAGCCAGTCAAAGCGAGATCGGCGGGGCGGGGAGGGGGGGGGGGCGGAGGGCGGAGGAACGTGATGGATAAATAAAACGACGCTTTCACGTCCATTTTCGAATTTATTATTTAATAATGGAATTAAATACGACGAAAGCTCCATTCGAATTCGCTAATTTCAATCAGCGACACTACAAACAGTTTGCATCGTGCAGCGATTGCCCAGGTATATCTGTTTCCATTGCTACTGAAACGGTTTGTCAACAATTCAACAGGGTTTTCAGCAGCGTTCTATTCAATTTGTCGTGTAATTTTCGCATTAAATTCACGTCCAATATCGCAAGTAGACTTTCAGATTCCAGATCGTCCTTGAATGATCGCCGGAGAATCGTTCAAACGATTTCGTTCATTCTTTTGGTAGCGTTGTCCCCAAAACTGGCGGGAAAGTTGAATCTATAGGCCGTAAATCACGATGATTAAAACGTGCATCGGTTAAATGGGGCGCGATAGTTAAAACGTAGGTCAAATGGAGTAGTCGCGAGCCTCGTTCGATCTGTTATTTACTATGCGTACGTGTGTTATTCTGCAACTCATTGCGAGACTTGGCACGTGAAAAAGGAGCAGGCATCGTTTGGTTGACGCGACTATTAGTGGCGCAGTGTGCATATTCGGTGGCGAGGTGGTATTGTGGAGAGATTGAAGGTCCCTAAGCAGGTACGGCGATCAATCTTTCTGTTCCATCGATCGTTTCCACTCTAATTCAGAGAGCTATTTCCAATTTCGGTGCACTTCAAAGGGAATGCACGTAGATTATCACGTTTAGAAAATAAATGCACAGCATGACGACGATCGATCTCACGAGATCTCGCAATTCGTTGGAAACTGCGTGCGTAGCAGGCTCCTTTTAGTTGAAAATAATCGAGGGAAATGAATTGAGAAAGAACGTGCTGAAAATTTCTTAAAAAATTGCGACAGAAATGGAACGCCGAACTGAAATAAAGCCACAACACGATCCCGGTTCACTCGGCAAAAATTGGCCGACTGCAATTTGACCCTTGTTATTTCGACACCAGTTATTGGTGAATTAACGACCCGATAGGTTGGCCATTTTAATTTTCTTGATACAAGCAGATTACCTACATATACAAATTACCAGCACATTTCATTTCGAGCAGAGGGATGGCGGCTCTCCCCGGACTGGGCCAATCGATTCCACTGTTTTATCTTTGAAAGCACGAAATTTCTCTCGTATTTCATCGCACGCGTCAGGAGATAATTTTCGGAAAACGAACTCCGCAGGCAATATACAGAGTCGCCCTTTTTATTTGTCACGCTACGTGAAACACCTTTATCGGCGTTTTCCTGTGTATCGATATCACATGCGATTGTTCGGCCTCCTTCGAAATAACGAACACAGTCGACTGAATCAATGATATTCCCTCTACTACCGGTTCAATCTTTCGGCTTAAAGACTACGTTTTATATAGAACGGATGGTTCGCTTCGATCGACGAGATTCGTTTCAGTTGAAATTTCAGTTGAAGAGGGACAATTTAGCGACTTTTGTCATGCTTATAGAGAAAGTATTTAAAGACAAATGCCACGTTACATTCTCCGCAGTGAAAAGTGTTTTCACTAGATGTCACGAAGTTGTGTTCGCTGGTAATAAGCGTAAATAAGTTTCTTGTCCAGTCTGAAACGAAATGTTTCTTGCAAGCTAAAGAAATTAAAGAGTTGCAGAAATTAAAGAAATTCAATTATTTTCCTTTCGCTTTGAATTTTCGACAGGCGAGATCCTATTTAATCTGCGTGTATATTTTGAAGCAGGAATTCGGAATAATTCAGATTTCAAGAAGAAATCTGGAACTATGGGACCGTGTGCCGCGCTTTTATCCACGTTTTCCCCCGACTTTCTGCAGCTTCCAGCTCGAGATTTTTTCGTCGAAAACAGAAATGCATATGCATCGCGACACGGTGGCGGATCACAAGCAACTGGGTCAATCCAATTAAGCGAAACAAAGCTGTTTAATGCACGCGGTGGCGGCCCAAGTAAGTAGATACCACGTGTGTTCCGCACAACTTGTGACGCTGGCTGATCGATATCGCGCGTGACACAGTGTCACGCCTCCTTGGAAGAATATATTTCCCATGGTTGCACCCGTGCGTTTGTACGATATATAAACGAAGGGCGTGGCGTGTCGCTGCGTTATTTCACAGTCAATACGTGGGAAGAAGAACCGATTTTAGAGAAACGATTCTCAAGTCTCACAATTTCGTTTCGAGACAGGTGTGTACGATCGATACGGTTCGAATTCCGTTCCTCATTGGTAGATTTAATCCATGTTTGGAGATATATTTCTCCGGCTGTCGGAGACGTCTCGTCCAGGTTGTCACGTTCGATCGGTGAACTTTACGCCCGCGTAAAAATCGTAGAAGAAAAGAAACGTTCGGCCGTGAACGGTGAAATTGCGCTCACAGTCGTTTCGAGACAGGAGTCATGGTGTTCGTCGACCGGAGACTCGTCTCACCTCTTTTTCTCTTTCTTTTCCTCTCTCTCTCTCTCTCTCTCACTTTCTCGATCCCTTTGAGATACACGTTTCAGGCAGAAGTTCCTTCGAACGTGCGAGTATCGCGTCACAGAAACGGAGTAGAATTACCGTGTATCAAAATTTCGATATTGGACTGGTTTTCCGATATCCAAGCGTGGATATACGATATCATTTTGCGCGTGCCGGGGCGGGAGTACCTGGAAATGTTGCCTGGACCCCGGTTTCTTGCCGGGGACATTGTTGAGAACATCGCGAAATCGCAATTTCGGTTTTCATTCTGGAATTCGATTCCGATTGTGCCGCGAGAACGACCGGCGAGCTTGTAATTCCATTGGTAAAAATACTTTACCATAGGGGTGTACCTTTGTGTACCTTCACGCTCTATTTTATGCACTGTTTTCTCGAAAATGTTGCGAGTTCCAAGACAATAGTGTGCCTTGTCATCTAGAGCAATCGGGAGAATTTTGTTGGAAGGTATATGTATATTCGTGAAGTTTTGATGTAAATAAGCAATTAAATTTACGTAGACAAATTAGGGGACCAATATCAGTCCTTTTTTTTTTTGTCTGAATGAACAAATAAACGTCACAATTTTATGCATATATATATATATTGTTTTTGATATTCTTGAAGTAACATAGACATATGTTAACGTTCAATGTTAATGTTTAATAATAATCGATAAAATAAAAAGAAGTTTAAAGAATCTCGCTTTATTTCCTTCCTTCTTCTTCAAGGTTTTGCAATAATTACACAATTATTATTCATAATTTATTTACCAATTATTTAGGAATCCAAACATCGCAAAGCGGTATCCTTACCTGACGGATGATCCGAAGGAATGGCGCCAGTACGATATCGATTGGCCCGAGTACGAACCTCAAAATCAGACCTACCTTAATCTCAGTAAGTCCACGAGATTGTTTTCTTGATCATTAACGATTTGATTAATGATTAATTAACTATCAGTGATAATTGTATGGCAATGATAATGATCGATCAATGAAAATTAGATTAAACGAATGTACGACCTGCAAATTCATACAGCGATCCCACCGAGCACCAGCAGGCGTTACCGATCTGCAGAGATGCAATTTTGGAACGAGGACGTACCTTATCTGCTTCGTCCTCCCGGTAAAGGAGGATCGTTGCCGATCCGGCCGAAAGGACCGAGGCCGCAGATTCTCGACATCGCGGATAGGATCGGAAAGTACGCGAATGCGAGCCGAGAATATGACACCTATGGTTCCAGGTTTGTAACGAGTGCTAATTGTAAGAAGAAACGACACGAGATTCGACATAGGAAAGGCGAGATCGTGTCTGTAGCTCAGATAAATTAACTACAATTATCTCAAAAAATAGTTTCCTTTATTACAGAGTAGCATACAATGTAAGGTGTAGGGTTTAATTTTGTAGATTAGGTTCTGCGACATTGGTGAGAATTTCCTTTAGATTCCGTCCCTTTTATTTCCACACTTTCTACGATGCAAGGTGGATTCCTTGAGCACGGATCCTTCCTTTAGAATGCTGAAACACATTGACACTTTCATTAATTAAAAACTGTTGTCACAGTTAGATAACGCGTTGCAGGCGAATCCGTTGTTGTGGTTCGAAAATTCGGTCCGTTCAATTCTGACTTATATTTGACGATTGGCCAATTAAAGAGATTGAGTTTAGAGATTCTGTTGTCTCTAGTTAAAATATTGTTTATGACTATTTATCTGTCCCCTTTCAATTTTTGTTTTCGAATTATAAGGTCAGTCTCGTTTCTTTTCTTCTTTTTTTTTTTTTTGTTTAACGTGATCTCGTATTTTCTGATTGAATTTTTAAGAAATAATTGCATTGAATAACGAGGATTTTTGTATACGCGATAATTAACGAGCGTGCTAATGACATGACAATCGTTTATTATTAAAAATTTCAATCGACAACGTCCGCGTTTATACCGTGCTTTCCTCCCCCTGGAAAATTCAGCGCGGATGTCAATTGAAAAATTAAACGCAATTCATTTTCGCGCGGCGTTATATAAGCAGGAATCTCGAGACTGTTTTTCAAGCGTATGCTAAACATTTAATGAAACGTCACTTGCACGCTATCGCGTCTGCTTTCTTGCTTGTCCCGGCCCGCTTAAATTGTCCGTATTATGCCAGTTGAATAGAATTTATTCAAACTTGCGCGCAACGGGGCAAAACATTCGTTCACTTCAAGTTTCAATTTCACTCCGATTCAGCGAGCTTGTCTGTTAAACATCCTGAAAAGAATTCAACCTACCAGCACGTTGACCCGCACGTTCAACAAATATAAACAAACGCTACGATTTAATCCCTCCACATAAATAACTGCTTAAATTCTAACACCTCTCGAATTACTCGCAATCCCGTCTATGAATATCTGTACAAGGCCGTGCAAATCTGAGAAACTACCTAACTAAGTTCAATCTAAACTCGCGTGTTCCCCCGCAACGATACAAGTTTCCTATCCCAGCCGGAAGCTTCCGTGCAAACAGCTGCAGCTCCCGACAAACTTTCCAGGCTCGACACATGATTCCGTGCTAGCAGCCGTAAAAATTAACGTTTCCCCTCCCCGCGATTCATCGCCGCGACAAAGCGAATAAACCTTTCACTTTAACAGATTTAAGGCCGACGATCGCTACGAGCCGTCGACAACTCCGGATTCCACAACTTCCTCGCAATCGGACGAAGAAGTGATACCACAGCCAAGCGCGCCGAAGAGTTCCTCCGTAATCACTATGCTGGCCGGTTTCGGGCTGGTGTTCTTGTTGATCAATTTCACGGCGTTCCTCTACCTGTATTGCAAGAAGCACGACGCAAAGTCGAAAGGGACAGGGGTGAAGAGACGCGGCAGCCAGAAAGAGGACTCGACGAAACGTGCGAAATCGGACAAGTACGAGAATCACTACGGCGAGCTGGGTTACAAGAGTGACAGCAAGCCGGATCTGAACGACGTGATAAAGAACGACAAGGCGTACGACAACAACTCGAACTTTGGCAGACGATCGAAATTGTCCAGACAGAACTCTGGATCCACTATTGACACGCACGTCAAGGTTAGGGAATGGATACAACAGGAGATCGTGCACAGGTAGGTACGATCAGGTGGGTTCGTCCTGCAGACGAATCAATTAGAAAACGGCCCCTGTGAATAGTTTGACAGTAGTACAGACTCGAGTGAGAGCTCCTTAGAAATTCGTCTCTTCAACTCTTGGTTAATTTCAATCAATGACTCCGCTTGAAGACGCTTCGCTGCAATAAGACGCGAGCTGATTCATCAAAACCAATGCTGGTTACGGCAGTGTTCCACCCTCCTCGATTCCGCGTCATCGAAATTTACTTAACGGCAGTTAGGAGTAGTTTCACCCTTTGACGGAAATCAGTCGGTCGCGAAAAGTTTTGGAAAATTATTTCAAAGTTCCTTCACGTGCACCCGTATTACGTGAATTCATTTTTGGCTTTCGAAATTAATCAGTTTGATCATTTGTTCTGAAAGAAAGTGGTGCGAGTTCATTTTCGTTTGTTTGTGATTGCATCGAAACTTTAGTTGATTGGAGTGAACGAATATTTTAAGATTTAAATTGTAAATTGTAAATCATCAATGAAAAGTTCGTAATACGTGCAAATTTTTCGTAAAAGGATAGACTTACACTACTTTAAAATAAACCTAAATAAATTTTAAATTGAAATTTTGTTTAGGTTTTGTTATGTCAACGTTTGAAATCATGTTAATTACACAATCAAGAATTGCACGGTCATATATAGCAGGAAACAAACTCCTCATTCACGCAGCTTTTCAAATTACCATTTGTTTCGACAACTTTAAACATTTGCACTTTAAGACAATTGAGAAATTCAAAACTTTTGAATTTTTTTCATTCAAAGCCATCATCTTTTTTTTATGGAGAAGATTCCAAAGTCACAAAATAAATATAAAGATTATTTTCCAGATTAAAATGTACAAACAACAAATTTGTGAATAGAACGAATTTGTACACTTGATAATTGATAAAATGTCACTTGCAGAGGTATCGATTTATCAAACGTTTGCGTGTTTGTTTTGGCGAAGGTGTTCCCCGAGGTTTCTAAGGAAAACGCGTGAAACCCTGCAAAAGGAGCACCAGGACAAACTGACGAAACAACAAGAAGTGGAGAAGAAGAGATTGGAAGAAGCACTGTCGAAAGAAAGGAAAGAGGAGCCGATCTACGACAAAGATCCAACATTGGTTGTACGCCCTGGCAAGAAATCAAAGGTCCCAAAGGTCTCCGTAGCCATTGACGCCACACCAGCGACCAGAACCGAATCGATTCTGAACCAGGTGCCTATCGAGCTGGCGAAGGTCGTCGAACCGGACGACACGTTCAACAAGAACGTCGACTGTCCAACGATCAGTTTCACCCAGTTACAGACAGCTCCTCAAGTGGTTGTCATAGAGCACCATCACTCGAAGAGCGACCCGTTGCCAATGGAAAACGTGTTGAAGAGCGTGAAGCCGAATTTCTCCACGCCCAGGATCTACGAGTCCGATTCCGGTAGCGCCAGCAGTCTTTACGCGAAGATCAATCCAAAGTTGAAGTCTCGTTTGCCTCGTCCCGAACTGCCACTGAATCCTGATGGATCGACGGTGGTGGATCAGACCGAGGAGATTTACATGAAGATGGGGCCAAAGTTAACCACGTTCAGTGTGAACAGTCCGCCGGGTTGCGATATAAACGTGACCTGCAGGGAGCCCGTGGCGGAGAGGGAGTGCGTCAGCCCGGAGGAAGCCCTGAGGACGATCAAGCGCAGAAATTACCCGAAAGTTCTGCCAGACATCGAGAAAAGACGGTCCCTCCCGGCGCCGAGCAGCTTGTTTTCGTCCAAGCAGCATGTTGGCTCGCTGAAGGATTACAGGAGCGGAATGCATTCGTCTTCGTCCTCTCATCAGCCACCTCAACCTCCACCGAGGATGTTTGGCCCGTCCAAGAGTCTCGAGTTTGCAGAGGAGAACGAGAACCAGCACGAGCCGGAATCGGTCATTACCAATCTCCACGTTGGCACGTTGCTCAGAAGGCAAGATTACACGACGAAGAACAATTCCGACCCGAGTATCATCGACTCTCTGGACGACAGGATAGACAGGACTAGAGCGCAAGCTGGTGGAAGCGTCGACACTATTTATTCGAATGCCCTGTCTTGCGTGCAAGAGGCGATTCAGCCGATCTCCCACAGCGTAGACAAGAACATAGGAAACCCGATTGCCCTGCTGGAGGCGGGAATCGGCAATCCTAATTGGTACAAAACTTCCCTGTCTGGAAACGATACCTCTATAGCGACAGCGTCGTCTGAACCAGGAATCACTGGCAAAGAAACGAACAAACAGCCTGAATTCGGTGGCTCGAACTGGGACACGAGGTTCGTCGGGGTGGAACCAAGGATCGTCATCACACCTAGAGTTGGGAATCTGTTGGAACAGGCGAACCAGAACTTGAGTCAAGTCGTGGTGAGTCTAGCGGATACCGCTTCCGACGAGAAGCTGCATCGAGAAGCAAAACTCGCCGCTCCCCTGGAATCGAACACGTCTGGTAGATCCAACGCAAGCTCGGCGGAACAATTGCAGTCAGACTCGTTAGGTTCGTGCTCCTTTCCGGATTCCAGATCGCCAAATATCGTCAGCCAGGAACGAAAAGAACCGCGAATAATAATTACAGCGAGGGACGCCAAGGGCGGGCCCTCGAACTTGAAGCAGCCGAAAATTATCATCAAGCCGACGTCCACTCTGCAGAGGAGCAGGGATCACAGAAATATTCCGAAAGTGTCTGCTATCCCGCCTCCAGAGCAAAGTTGCCAGAGTATCGATAGGGACAAGTTGGCGGAGCAGAGAGAGAAGCCACCCCTGAAGGAGAAGCCGAAGGTCACGAGGATTCCGTCGTTTTCCAGACGCAGGGATGAACCTGCCGGCGAAATTGAGAGGCCACCCATTCCACCGTATCCCGAGAAGACGGAAATCGTGCATAGGGTGGAGGCAGTGGCCGGGGGCAAAGTGGTGAACGTGTCCGTGGCCAGCGATGGCAAGTCGAGCATTCCGACGCTGCAACGGAAGGAGAGCGAGAAATGTTCGAGCGCGGAGTCGACCAACTCCGGGGCCTTGAACACGGGCACGATCAAAAAGAAACCGGTGAACAGAAAGTAGGAAGCTTCTATCGCTGCTTCTCGCGCCACTGTTAAACTTCGATCGTGTATTTTCAGCCGGGAGTAGTTTTCTATGTTTGGAATCAGCAATCCTCTGATCCGCGTGACGCTGTAATTCTTTGGTGACAGCTGAAACAGGGAGGTAGATAGCGGTAATTGTTTCTTGTCTGACTGGACGAAGGGGGAGAATGTTGCGAGAACGGTGGAGAAGGATGAATGACTTTGGTAGAGCTTAGGGACCACGAAATTGAAAGTGTGTGTGTTTGTGTGTGTATGTGATAAGATGTTGTTTGACGTCCGAATCCCTTGAGTTACGAGCAGACCAGGCCGATATGAAATGCCGGGTGTCGATTGAAATGATAGAGGGAAGATAGTGAAATTGTGATCGAGATTCTCGTAGCGGCAACACGTACGTATAACGATGGATTTTAATACAACGTAACGATTTAAAGATATTTTTTCGCACGATATCTAGCATTTTAACGTTTAAACGACACAATTTGTAGCAAACAAATACTTTTTATACTGTACTCTATGATATTAATAATTGTCAAAACAGATTTTAATTTGCCTGAGCAACTTATTCCAATTTGAAGGAAAATTGCAGGAGAATTTCAAACAAAGTCCCGAGACGCGACACGCTTTCCTAATCCCTATTAAACAACGTTGCGTTTAAATCGTTCATGAAATCGTCTATTTTACAAACGACATTCCTACTTCTCTTACGGCTTTTTCAGAATTTAAACATTATTAAAATTTTCCTTGAAATATCACTGTTTAGCCCGATAGTTGAAACTATCCATTGCAGCTTAAGATTATACTCAGTTACGTGTCTGTGTGCTGAACGTTAGTTACCTTTCGTTATATTTTTAATCCTTCCTTCGTTTAACGAGAAAGACTGGTGTTCCTCTTTCGGTTTAGATCGCGTTCTCGCTTTATTTCTCGTTTAAATATCCCCATACTCTCTCTTTTTTTTTTTTTTTTTTATCGAACGTCTTGTTCGCTCTTGGTTTAACGCGTACACGAGGCTGAAATAAACGATTTTCATACTTCTCTAGCGCGGGGGGCAACGTGGGCTGAAAGTGTTTCCCTGAGCGGAGTGTCGCGGCGAGTCTCTGGTTATCATTTTTCAGTACGCGGCTGGCGTACCATTTATCTTGCAACTTTACCTTTATCCAGCGGAACTTTATTATTAAGTAAAACAAAGTCTATAAGTCACAGAGCGTTGCCGGGAAGGTGGGAGGCTGTCTGAAGTAAGGGCTTCGTGGAAGAAGTAGCAGGGGCTGGAAATGACGTGAAAATGGCCACCGACTTCGCCACTCATACACTAAACCGTTTCCTGCACCACGTACGTCCGCGAATCCAATTGATTCTCGAACTTCTGCCAGGCTAATACGATTCTCCTACCGATCGATAAAGAAAGCTTCATTTTATTCCGATCTTTCTCCTGCTATCGCACAGCCGTTTCACGAACAAGTTTAACGCGGAACATCGTCACCGACGAGGCTCTGCATCTTTAATTTTCACGTTGGTTACATGCCTGCGAGTTCGTTGTTTCCTGTTGAGTTTGGTCAAACATCGTACTTTACGTAGAAACGTAATAACGTAATATTTGTGTGGCAGTTGAAACACAGCATGCTTCGTGCAAACTCGTGATTTTATATACGATAGCAAAACGGACGTGTAATTCGAATGTTGTGCTCGCGTATTAATTTCACTGCAATTGTGTTTATGTACGTAATCGAGGCTAATGCCACTCGCATTTTCCTTTTTACTCGGTCGTGTGTGTGTGTGTGTGTGTGTGTGTGTGTGTGTGTGTGTGTGTGTGTGTGTGTGTGTGTGTGTGTCCACACGTAGATTTTTTTCATTATTATACGATCAATCGATAAATCGAGCATGCCATCAACTCATACTCGACTGAAATATCGTTTTGGCTGTGCACACGAGAATACTGTGCCATAAAATGTGTATCGCTCGTTGAAACAATGGGATACAAGTGAGTCGGTGATGCTTTAAGAGCCCTTTATCGCACGAATGGTGCAAATATCTCTTTGTCACATTTGTCCGGAAGATATATACTGGATGTTAGTCAAATTCACGGATATTTTCCCAAAGATTCAACCTGCGCGTTTCAAAGAAACGGCATCGGAATTTTATCAACCGCGAAATGCTGTTCCACGGTCTCGGGGAAAAAACGAGCGAACAGTCTTTCCGCTGTGAGAAATGAAGAACGTTGATAGAAATATGTTGGCGTTCTTTTTATCAAAAGGATTTAATTTTGTACGTTTCAATTTTTTTTTTTTTATTAATAATTGATATACTTAAAATAAAAGCAGGCTTTAATAAGGGAAGAAGTGCGTTGGTGTTGATTTATGCTTTTGTGCTTCATGTAGAAACCCATGGAGTCTCGAAACTCCCAGTTGTTTATCACGCAAAATTTCATTTTGTCCCGACCGCTCTTTTTGTACATCATCTATCTTCAGGTATCTTTGGTACCAGACGCGCGTTTTTCTTCCATCAATTTCAAGTCATTCACCTCTGTAGTTCTCTTAGTTCCTCTTTGAGAGCAAACGTCCTTATCTTTGTATTTCCTTTTTAATTCTGAACTAGTAATAACTGAACGTTTCAGCCGGTAATAATTTCAGATTACAGGTTGTCAAATTTTGGAGTTTTTAATTTAATTCGATTTCGTTGCTAATCCTTATCGCGAAGAAAATACATATAAAATGTCGTTTCACTAAAATCTGAATTTGATAAACTGACAATATCTATTAACTTTCTTCTTCCAGTCAATTATTAATCGCTACAAGTCATGCATAATTCAAGAAGATTTATATTAAAAATATGGAAACCTTATTAACAGACATCTTTCAGCAATTTCATATTTTGATGAACACGATCAAAGGAATAGAACGTGAATAGTAAGTAAAAATTTGTTTCCCCTGTTAAAGAAAGAAAAAAAATAATCTCCATACACAGCAGTCTAATAAAAACGCAAGAAATTAAATTTTAATTCCATCAATATCGCAGTTGTTTACTACGAGACGTACAACTGTAGTTGTAATACAAGGGGAAGCAGGGAAAGTTTGGCGCGCCGACAGAATATCAAGTCCGGGTTCTCGGAACGTCGGATGAACTCTCGATTTGCCGGCCGGTGTAATGGCGCGGATTTGATAAATTCGCCGGACGTTTAATGGAAAGGGCCACGTGGCTTTCACGAGGTAAGTTTCTGCTTATTGATAGTACGTAGTTCTATCGTCCTTTTAGTTCGACAAAGAGCAGGGAACTCTCATTCCTCGGAGGACTTCCTCTTCAAATAGTTACTACGGAATACGTTAAACGGGTAATCTAATCGATCGGAACAGCGCCCGAGTGACCGATCATGCAACATGCAAAGTTAAGCAGCATCGAAATGAACGAGCGAGAACGTATCGCTTTTGTGTATTAAATGGAATTGTATCGCTCGCGATACGCGTCAAAGGAGAGGTGATATCGATTGTCGGAATGGCGGTTCTGCTCGTCTCGGAGGTGCAGGCGCATGTAAGTAAGTCGCACACGTACGCGCGAACGTACATCGGGAAAATATATCTAGCGGCTGCATCGGGCCAATTTGCATTGCTAAACGTACGTTTCACGTTCGATTCGCTCCCGGCTCCTTCGGCCTGGATGTTTGCACACGCCGGTATGCATGTGCTTCGGGCTGCCGGCATGAAATTGGCAAATTTCAAGCGTAAACGGCGAAAAAACGCTTGTCACTGCCGTTATTGTTAAATCATTTATAGACGATAACGGATGCCGGCTGAAAGGAGGAACCGGCGATCCGGAAAATGGTTGAGCAGATAAACGAATTTTTCGAAATATCGTGAGCATTTTTCCAACCGTTTGTTTTATCACGTTTCACTCCGGAAAGAAAATACAAAGAAAGAAAGAAAGAGAAGAAAAAGGATAATTTCAGTTGCAAAGCGGTAAAACGAAATTTCTGAAATAACGTGCAGGTTGGACGAGGGGTTGGTCGAGAGATCGTCGTTCCTTACGGGCAAATGTCGTGGACTTTCTCTCTGCCCTGGTATATAAACCTAGCGGGAAAACATTTCACTTTGTATCATAAAGACGCGCGTAGTACACAGCGTGTACTAAAAATTACAAAGACAAATTATGTTCAACGTGAAAGCTCACCGTGCTTGTTATCATCGTGACTCCGTTGCCCGTTTTCACGAGCGAACGTTTCACCACAGAGGGGAGCACTTTCGAACGGTTAAACTCGTCACCCTTTCAGAAATACTCTAACAACAGCCCTATCGTCCACTTTCCCGAGCCAATGAGGTATAAAAACGATGCGTCGAGTGGCGGAAAGAAGAGAGAGAGAGAAGGCTGGAAGCGGCAGCGACAAACGATCCGATAATGAGGGATACATTCGTACGGGGGATACATTCGCCTCGCTTACTAGCAAATAGCCGAATAATTCGAGTGGTAGGGGTGACAGCGAAGCCACCATTCGAAACGGGCGGAGAGTTTGGCGAGAACGGGAGAAACAGGAAACGGTGAGAACTGAACCGAACGATTACCAAGCATTAGTTACGGTGCAGCGTAACGTAGTCTCTGGGCGCAGCAGTTTGGAAAGCCGTAATTGCAAGACAACTCCTGGCCCTTCGCCCTGACGGGGGCGGATTAGTGGCAACGAGTGCTTACATCGTGGGTGCGACATCGTGGAACTGTCGTCCAGTCAGCTGGACGAACACGCGGCCCATCGTCCACGTGATGTACGATGCAGTTTCGCGGCTGATGAACATTCACCAGTTGAATGATGCGAAAAAGAACGAATACCGGAATGACCGTGCTCTTTAGTACCTGAAGCTTCTCACGTTCTCGCGACAAGAGAAGCGACAACGACAGAATTACAAGAATTCAAGTCGAAGTTACGTACGATATCGTAACGTGTTTACGAAAAAGGCCGGATAGGGAAGAAAGCGGAAGCTGAGGAACGCTTGCCGCGAGACGAGCGAGTTCTCCCCGGATCCGACCATAAATCTATAACGTTCTTACGTTGACATACATATCATGAATTATTCCGGTGTTCTGGTTGCTCGAATTATTCATAAGAAAACAAATGTTGCTCGGTTGCGGTTGGCTCTATCCGGAAGCAAGACGTTGACTAGCGTCACGCTACGAAAAAGAATCCATGTGTCTACGTGCGTGGCTCTGCCTCCTGTATATCGACGATGCTTTAATTCGAACACAACATCCCCACGGACGTTTCGGAAACTCCGTGTTCTAATCCATAATCCATTACCTTTCTTTCATAAAGGAATCTGCTACACGGCAGCTGATCTCAATTTTAAATTTCGCTCGGCCAAGATTTTCTTGTACATTAATGCAACGTACAAAATCCAACGCAAGAAAAATAATTTCGTGAAATAAACTATGTTGACAGCTACGTAGGATCACGCATTGGCAATGGGAATGAGAAGAAACACATTTCTAAAGGCCGTATAAAGCCAGTTAAAATCATTCTGCAATATTATCGACGCTCTCGTACTGCAAATCAACCTCCAAATAGTTCTGCAGTAGATCGGCTTCTCGTTATCGTGTCCCGTGGTGGGTTTAGCGAGAGTAGTAGCGATCTAATTCCCTACCTTCAGGGCTGAGCCAATTAATAAATTTGTACCGGTCGGCTGGCCACAGAACAGGCCTCTGTCTCTGCTTCTGCTTCAAGAGGTATCCATTGTTGTCGAGACAATGCCCGGCTACTTGCTAGTTAGACTACCTAACTGTCCGCGGTAACGATCGAATGCGATGTCAGATTAATTAGATTTCAAAGGGAACGCGTCCAACTCTGTTTAATCAGCCGTGCTCCGAGTACCAGTCAGGAAACATTCTCCGAAACGACGGTCCAAGTCGGAGCTTCGGGGATTCGTCGAAAAATGTCGTTCGAGACCGACAACGAGCAAACCATCAGGGGCCATCTCGTCTCTCACCGACGGAATTTCGTAGTTTCTTTCGCGGCGAACGACACGACAGAGCAGACGCAAACACCGACGGATCGAACAGCATCCTGTGAAATTTCTCCGAGAATTCGTAAGATCGCTAGGATGGGTTCCTGCTTCGACGATTCGTTATTAATCATTTGTGTCTCGACTGCTTCGGGACGTAAATTTCGCAGATACTAGGAAGGAAAGCGTAATGGATTCAGGAAGGGTGGTCTCGAAGGTCTATTTTCCAGAAAGTTTAACCGGCAAACTGTTCTTCAGTTGAAATTTACGTTTATTGTGGTATTCGTTGTCGTTCGTACATTGAACGATAGACTGACATTTCAAAATCTGAAAATAAAGTTATTTTCACTAAAGATAGGTTCCTCAATCACAGACTGATCGTCTATGGCGGGTTTTGTTTCTTTTTTTTTTTTTTTAAATTTTAATACAGTATTTTATAATAGCTTATTTTAGTAGTTATTCTGCATTAATTACATGTTAACGACGATAAGAATCAGACTGTATGACAGTCTGACTAGTTCTCTCTAATATAATTTTCATCTAGTGAACTGCCTAGATATATTTTTTAATAATTGAAACCAATATACATACATTAATAAAAACTATCCGACAACTACCAGGGGAAAAATATTTTTTACAAAACTCAGTCTACCGTTTGTAAAAAGGACGGAAAATAGCTGAAAAAAGTATTGAAATCGTTTGCTCGCGAAAATTTGATAATTGCAATATCTATCCAAGGATCGGTTTCATACCATACTCAATAATCGATCGATTTTTATTCGTGTACACGTGTATTTGGAGCGTGTCAAAGCTCGCGTTCTTCTCGTTTCATCTCCTCCCCATTCCGCATTCGCCGTTCTAACAGTTCCATCACATTTCGGTTTTTGAAAATATAACTAATGCCCGACGCTAGATGCCCTCCGGAGCTGGCAGAACTGCCTTCAAACGACAAAAAGCCAGAATCTAATTTGCATTCGATTTCATCCAGCGGGAGTTTCGAGAGAAATTCAGAAATTCTAGCAAAAGTGTCAGCAAACATTCACCGAGCGGGCGTGTATGACGGGGGGGATAGGCAACTAGCCGCGCATAGCTAGTTCAGTTTCTCGTCGGGGTTTCCTATTTTCACAGTCCATTATCCCCGCGCGTCGAAAAACCGGCGACTGTAAGAACGAGGACGAGAGGAACGCGCGATCTGGCGACACGGTTCGTGGTTCGACAACCACAGAATCTCGCAGACTCGCAGTCGCATTCCGACCGATGTTTCCGACGACACGTCCACGGGCGATATCGATTATCGGATGTTGGGGGTGATTAAACGCATCTGCGAGGCGCATCAGTTCGGGGTTCGCCACTAAACGATC